TGATGTTATACATAATGTTATCTCATGGTTATAAATAGTTTTTCTGTAGTGCCTTGCACCTCCCCAATTTAGGTGTTCTTGGGGGTTTTCTTCGATGAAGGCTCAAGGTCTTCCTCTCATCTGAACTTTTTAACTTTGTCTTCAGACCGTGTGCAGTTATGGTGTTCCTTGGTCTTTCTGGATCTAACTGGTCTAAATTCTTCATTTTGTGGCTAATTTGAATTATATTTGCCAATTTCTTGTTTGTACATCCTCCTGCTTCCCAGTATAGCTACACTTGTCTGTTTCTGAGATCATTCACCTGGCAAGTTTCTGTTTATTTAAGCTTTAAGTAACCAGCTAACCATAGACTGGCTATTGCACTGTACAAAAAGTTATGATTCAGTTTATATAGATATAGAAAGTTATGATTCAGGTTGTATAAATATACAGAGTTATGATTCAGGTTATATTGGTGTCCTTAACCTCAAGCTACATCTGCATCTTGTAACTTTGACCCAAGTTATATCAGCATCACCTTTCTCCACCTCCTTGGTTAAGATCTTACAGGAGGGAGGGGTGAAAAAAGCAAATCCCCGTTTGATCTTCAGCTGCTTCTTCAGCTTTGAAGTGCTGCAAACACAGCCTTGGAGCTCATCTGTCTCTGTCTTTGATAATGCCACACAGCTGAAGAGTTTTGTGCTGTAACACCACTCAGGTCACAAAGATGCCAGAGAAACACTTGAAACAACATATCTGCTTGAAGCACCTGAGTTTTTAGGGTGCTTTTACACTTGAAGGATCTGTCATGCTCTTATTTATAATGCAGTCTGATACACAAAGCTTTGTCAATGTTATTTTCTTCATCATTCTGTGGAGCCTCTTTGGGTTTTTTTTAAACCTCTGCAGATTTTGCTCTTTTTACAGTAACACTGAAATATCCCCGTGAAAGAACTGCCTCCCCATGCCTGCAATCCCACGGGCCAGGGAAGAGGATGGTAAATGGAAAAGTTCCTTCCTTGTGCCTTTCAGCACCTGGGAAATAATCAACAAGCAATGATTTGCTCCTGTGCAAACAGATTGCACACACCTCAGCCAGGGAGAGGAAGGAGTTTCACTGCTCCATTCCCAGGGCTGAAGGGAGATGGAAACCTCTCTCTCCTCAGGTCTGTTTGCCCAAAAGGAGCCAGTGCAGTGATGGCTCCAAGTTTACAACTCCTATTTAGCAGAGAAACTGCTTTTAAGGAGCATCAGCAAGATTTTTCCTGGGTAGTTTCTGGGAGGGAGGAACAGGAGCTCATTCCCTTTGAGCTGGAATGCTCCTGGCTCACTGCCAAGGGAGTGAAAATTCCTCAGAAAAATATTTTGAAAGGTGGTTTTGAAGCCCAAATATGCAAGATAATGAGTGGAGAATGAGATAGCAGAGCTAAAACAAACATCTGTGCTGTCTGTACTGCTGATTAATAGGCACCAATTTCACCCTAATAACTCTGAATTGCAGATGGATTGAAGGCCAGAGGAAGGCCCTGGAGCAGGGAAAGCTCCCAAGGTTTGGGATCCCTTACTCACACCAGATCCTTGGTAAGTGACTGACAGCAGCTAAATTAGTACTAATGAATAAGTCATTAATAAGGTGAGCTTTGAACCTTGGTAAACCACTGTTAAAACTTTATTGAATTCCATGAAATTTATTAAACTCTTGTCAAATTATTCTTTTCACTCAATAAAACATTGCTGCTTCTCTCTCTGGAGTGAGGTGTACTCCACTCAGTCACAACAGTTTTCTTTTAAAGCAAAGAATAAAATAAAACTCACCATGGAGATAGAAGTTTATTTCTGCAAGATCTACTTTACAAACTCTACAACCAGGCAGTGTTTGTGCTCTTGCTTCCACATAATTCAGAGCATCTCAATTTTCAAGGGGAAAAAAAAAACAAACCCTTGAAAAAGACAAACTTTTTAGGTTCAGAAATTCAAGTTTTTCAGTTTTTTAACTTTAAAACCCATGAAGCAACACAAAGATTTAAGTGGAGGTGGTGGGGGTTTCCTTCCCCCATCCCATTTCATCTCTTGGCTGGAAAACTTTACCCTCAAAGCAGGGCTGGTGCAGGGGAGGTTGTGCCTGTCTCACAAAATCCCAGTGCTTTACATCTCAGAGAGACAAAAGGCAGACACAGTTAAATATGGGAAGTTTTCCTTTCAAATCCCTGCTCTAAGTCACCTTCCAGACCCTCCAACAAGGCCTTTATTTCAAGCCATTGAAAGTTCTGGATTTTCAATAATGATTACTAGAATTGAAGAGGGAAATTGTCACTTATCAAAATGACCCTGAAAGGCAGGGACTGAATCTTCTTGCTTTACTGTCTAGTACAGCATATGGGAAATATAAACAAGCCTTACTAAGAATTTACACATACATTTTGGGGCTTTTTACATTAATTCAGTCAATTTACAAATAATCACTTCAGGCAGAGAGTTAAAAGTATCATACAAAACACAAGTAAAACCTCCATCTTATTAAAATGGAGAAATTCTCCATGGCAAAATAAAAATATATATGTATGGATATATATATATATACACACAGGTTTGTCTCTGTATTCCAAATATTAAATACAACACTTTATATTACTTGTTTTGGTTAGCATGAAATGATGAATAATAATAGACAAAAGTCTTTTTTTCTCTAGAAAGATTGAGAAAAGTGTACGTCTGCATCAAAAATAAAAAATAAAATAAGTTGCTTTTAAGAATAAGATACCTGTTTAAAAAAAACACAACTCAAAAGTTGTGTTGTTTTCATCAACACAGATGTCTAAACACTTGATTGTTACAGTTTTAAAAGCAAACTGAAAACCTTTTTCCAGTCCCATAAATTTAAAAAAAAAAATAAAGTTCTGTAAACCAAGTTCATTCATGAAGGGAAAACAGCAGCTGTCAC